TTTCCTTTCAAAAATTTTTTTCTAAAAATTGCCAAACAATTTTTATTTTTATAACATCTGCCCCTTTCTTCCCCCTTTCTTTCTCTTCTTGCGCATATAATTGTTATCGCTTCTTTTTATTTTCAAGAGCTTTTGCCAATCCTCCTCCTTCCTTTCCTTCCACTCTTGAAGACCTCACAAATATCCCTTCCTCCCTCCTCTTGGAGTCTATCGACTAAGAAAGGAAGAGTGAAAGGTCCTTCCTTTCCTTCCTTCTCTTCTTATTTTATAGACAAATAATTGAGATAAATAAAGTAGCTGTGTAATAATTGTAAAAATAAATGAAGTAAAAATTTTGAAAAATATTTTTGGAATTTTATAATATGTAGAGTTGTAAGTTTTAAGGAATTTTTCATATATTCGGAAATTAACCGAAAAAATTCTCCTAGTTTGCTTCTGAACTGAGAAACCCCGATTCCTCATTTACAAAACTACTTATGATTTATTTAAACAAACTACCTAACGAAACTCAGATTAATTAATTTTTAAAAGTCAACCGAAATATAAAGTCCGTTCCAAATAACCTCATCCACTTTTATTTTCGACATTAGGGTTGGTCCGAAAAATTTACAAAAATTTCTGTACGGAAGTACCTGAATTTCTAGCTAAAAAATTCTAAAATTTATGGAGAATATAGGATATGAGAACATTTGAACGTGTTCAAGAATTAATTTTAAGTTAAAATCTACAAAATTAAATTAAATTACAAAATAAAATTTCTTTTATTTCTACAACAATTAAATTTACTTCAATTCCAATTAAACTTACAAAATTAATTTAGTATATTCTTCTAAATTATTCAAAAATCTCATAAAAACAAAAATAACTTTTTCTTTTGAATAAATTAACCCAAACTTTTATTTAAAAGAGAAGATAATAATCTTCTTCTTCACTCTCTATTATTCACTCTCTCTTTTCTTCCTCTTCCTTTATCCGCTTAACCCCCTCCAAAATTCTTTTATTTTTAAACAAATAAAGATAAAAATTATCTATATATAATAGTAACAAGGCACTCAGCTAAAAAAAAGTCCTTTGGAAGTTTGAGAGGTCGTAGAGGGGTGGGGAAAAAAGCTATAGATGCGCAATATTATGTAGTTTTCAGGAAAACCTCCAAAAGTTGGGGTCCAATGAAGAAAAAATTAGATATTTTGAAAAAACATGAATTTGTGAAACTTTGACGTGAAATTTGAATATAAAGATGAAGTCGGGGGAAGTTGGGTCAGTTACAAGGTTGAAGCACCACAACATGTAGAATATGATAGAAAAAGAGTTGAAGTCGTTCTGACATCGGGGAGGGTAGATGTGCCTGTTGACAACTTTTTTGTCAAAGTGGTAACTAAGGATTTAAGGTGTTTATCGACGAGATAGAAAAAAGTTGTTGGGAGAGAAGTTGTAGAGCATGTTGGGTTTCTTAAGAAAAAAGTTGGTTTCAAGTTGATTGGATTAAAAGAAAAAAAGATATGGAGTAAAATTTGAAATTTGAGGATGTTGCATAAAAGTGACCTTAACTATATTTTGTTTTGGAGTTAGGAGAAAAGTGTTGGGAGATGTAAGATAGAGAATTAAATTCTGCATCGAATAAGCTTTGTTTTATGTTAATTTAACTTTTTTGCACCGAGTTATGAATTTTTTAAAAAATTAAAATTTTGGGAAAAAATTTTTAAATTTGACGGTCTAGACCGTCCGATCTGGAAAGTTAAGCAACGCTGAGCCGTTTTTTGTAACTTTTGAAGTACAGTCACGGACAAAAGTTTGGACGCAAACGATTTTCAAACTTTTTTTTCGAATATTTTTATTAAAATCAACAATTTAAAAAACAAATTTTTTGTAAAATAATGCTCCTTTTATGAACTTTAATATACATCAACAAAATACTGGAAAATTTTATAAAAAAAATTTTTTTTGATATTTAACCAAAAAAGGGGGTGGACAAAAGTTTGGACGCAAATTTTTAATAAAAAATATCTTACAGTATAATGGTCCAAAAAATCTACAAAAATTTCAATGAACATCTCCATTGATGTTGAGTAGAAAAGAAAAAAGAATGAAGTCAGAAACTTCTTTTTTCATCGAGATCTCGAATGTCAAAAATCAACGGAAAATGGGGGTACAGTACTTTAAAAAATATTTTTACCCCCTAGAGCTTTTATAAAAATTTTTCTTTTGGTCCCATTAAAGAGCCCATAAAATTTCCTACAAAATAATACAAGTTTTTATTTTTCCAATAAAAACTCATGGAGACAGAGTCGAGGCAATTTTCTATGTTATCATTATTGGGGTATTTTAGGGGTTTTTTGACCATTTTTATTTAAAAGTGTCCGCAGTTCGAAGAACCATTTTTAGAATAAATGAGACCAGGACTATTTTGTAGGAAATTTTATGGGCTCTTTAATGGGACCAAAAGAAAAATTTTTATAAAAGCTCTAGGGGGTAAAAATATTTTTTAAAGTACTGTACCCCCATTTTCCGTTGATTTTTGACATTCGAGATCTCGATGAAAAAAGAAGTTTCTGACTTCATTCTTTTTTCTTTTCTACTCAACATCAATGGAGATGTTCATTGAAATTTTTGTAGATTTTTTGGACCATTATACTGTAAGATATTTTTTATTAAAAATTTGCGTCCAAACTTTTGTCCACCCCCTTTTTTGGTTAAATATCAAAAAAAATTTTTTTTATAAAATTTTCCAGTATTTTGTTGATGTATATTAAAGTTCATAAAAGGAGCATTATTTTACAAAAAATTTGTTTTTTAAATTGTTGATTTTAATAAAAATATTCGAAAAAAAAGTTTGAAAATCGTTTGCGTCCAAACTTTTGTCCGTGACTGTAGTTATCGGAAAAATATGATTAAGATGTCATTCGACGTGGAAAAATCATGCAAATTTTTTAAAAATATTTTTGAAAGGGTCGCTTGAGTCTGAGGGTGGAATATTTGAGTCTGAAGGCTAAAATCAGTGGAAATGAATTTAAAAAATTCTAAAAATTAATGGGAATATTTTAAAATGGATTTTTAATAAAAAGTACACTTGAGTCTCATTTATAACTTTCAGTCTGGGACTGAAATTTTTATAAAATTATTTAATTTTACAAATTTTTGAAATAAATTTAATTTCATTAAATTTAATGAAATAAATTTAATGAAATAAATTAACGCGTTACAGAAAACGCGTTGCCGGAGCTTTAAAATTATTTTTTTAATTCGAAGCGCGTTGCCATAAACGCGTTGCCGGAGGCAACCGCCAGAATTAAAAATTATTTTTTAAAAATTCGGAACGCGTTGCCGGAGGCAACCGCCAGAATTAAAAATTATTTTTTAAAAATTCGGAACGCATTGCCGGAGGAACCGCCAGAATTAAAAATTATTTTTTAAAAATTAGGAACGCGTTGCAGAAGACGTGTTGCCGGAGGCAACCGCCAGAATTAAAATTATTTTTTTAAATTTAAAACGCATTGCATAAAACATGCGGGCCGAAGGCCCGCATGTTTAATTATGACTTAAAATTCAAAAATTTATAACTTTTGAAGTATTAGTCTTTGAAAGATGGTTGAGGTGTCATTCGATGGGGAATTGAAAGAGGAATTGAATGAAGATATTTTTAAGAGTGTCACTTGAGTCTGAGAATGGACATTTGAGTCTGAAAATACAAAACACTGGGAAATTGATCCAAATTAATTTAAATGAGTTGTAATAACGCTGGAGTCAGCCTTTATACCCAATAAGCTTATTTACATGTCAGCAATTCGCGCCGAACGCTGGTTATTTATTTACATAATTTATTTATTTTTGTATCTGTGAGAATTTTATAGAAATAAAAAAAGAAATAAAGGCTTTTACCCGATTAGAAAATAAAGGGCGCTAATGTTAAAGAAAAGGAATTTTTTTGAAATGGACGGGTAGGGAAGGAATATGCAAATTTTGAGACAGAATTAAATAAATTTTGAACATTTTTGGAAGAAAATAAAAAAAGGGAAGGGAGGGAATGAACAGATAAAAAAAAGGAGAGAATGGAGAGGGATGTTTAGTTACAGGGAAAGTTATGTTGTGAGAAAATAAAATTAATAAAATTTTGGGGGATCTGTGTCAAATATGGGGGTTAGCTTATTCGTTCACAGTCAATATTGTGAGTGGTCACTATAACTATTTATTAATTACCCCCTGCCAGCGAAAGGTTGAAACAATAATTACCCGGAATAATTATTAGAGCATACACGTTAAGTAGCTTTAGTGTTCTTCAATAATTAAACTAATCTAGAATTTTTCTATGGAATATTGCAAACTTAATAAATTTATGCCACCAACGGTTGAAGGCTCTCAAAGTTTTAGAATTATTTTCATGTTTTAGAGGGTATATAAATTTTTACAATAAATTTTCTTAAAATTTTTACAGTCTCTCTATAGTGCAGATTTTTTTCTCTTAACTCATTTCTGAATTCCCAAATTCGAATTTTTATTATATACTAAATGTTAACACAACTAGGGTTGTACTCCGTCCAGACCCCGAAATTTGGGGGAATTTTTAAAAGAACAAAAAATTTTTGTTTAAATTAAAAAAATCTAAATTTCCCTGTTAAAAGGGCTTACATAATTTAGAAAAACAGTCAAGACTCAGGAAAAAATCTTGAAACACATCTACAACTACATATTTACGTTTATTTTTTCCAAACAGGTATCCATCGAGTGAAGTTTATACTAAAATATGGGTAAACTTGAACCAATTTATCAAAGGAAAACAATTCGAAACAACAATTTATTACAAACAAATACAATACAAACGACAAAATATATATACAATAGAAATACGATACATACTATAGTTATATACGATAGAAAGAATATATGGGTATAGGGAATGGGAACAATATATTTATAGGGGCATAACAAAAAAACAATATATATATAGACTATTTCATCCTTATATCTCGAGCTTCACCCTCAGAACTTCCGGGCACAGGATATCCCTAACGTCGAGCTTTTTTCTTATCCTCACTGCTGGCTCCTGGAAGCAATTCCTTCCCGACATTGTCTGGCTTCTCATATTCAATTTCAGTTTCGACCACAGCGAACGTATTGATATACTTTTTCTGAAATATATAAATTATGTTGACATACAAAAAGTATTATTTTTCACCTTTTTCCACTCCTCGAACTCCCCAACATTTTCATATCCCTTTTCAGCCAGTTCCGGGCAGTATTCGCTATCGTAGAGCTCTTTGTCCTTAAACCGCACAATCTGGTCTACAATGAATTGCATCTTGCTTTTGTCGTCTTTTTCCTTCTCCGCTTTCCTCCACATTGCGGCGCCCAATTGTTCAATCGGATGACGATCCAGAAATTTCTTAGTATGGTCCAGTTTTTGCTGAAAAAGTGGGAAAATAAGTTATATATTTTCTAAATCTTAAACTTACATCATCCTTCCATATTTCAAACGGCTTCATGTTCTCACTGCCTTTGAGTTTTGCCTCAGCTTGGTAATCAGCATACCATTCTCTGTCTTTTGCACGTTTGGCTGCACGCGCCGCCCTTTTCTCAGAATTCACCTCCACCCAGTTCCATGTGAACCATGCCAGAATTCCAATGATGATTACACCCACGACAATCAAAATCACATACACATAAAGCCATCCACTGGATTTTTCCGGGCATTTGCCTTCCGCTGGATACTTTGTCGATGGTGATGAGATGTTTTTGAGCACAGTTGTTGTAGTCATTAGAGCTGTACATGTTGGACAAGGAGCACATGTTGAAGTTTCAGGAGTTGTTTCTGTTGAAGTGACTTTTGTGGTGGTAGTCGTCGTTGTCGGTTGCTGAGGGTTAAAATACAGCAGCTCGTAGTCTTGTCTGTTCTAAATTGAATAAAATTAGCTGTAGTTTCTCAAAAAGTTTGTGCAAAACTTACAAATCGGACGAAGAGCTCACAGTAAGGCACGGACGGTTTTCCAGACGTAATCCCTTCCTCATCGAATAAACGAGTTGCATTCCGTGAAAGCAGGCTGAAAACGAGAAGATGTTGTCTCTGGAACTCCGGGTTCGTGATGGTCCATGTTTTAGGATTGACGCTTTGACTTGACTCTGGACCACAAACAGTCCCCTTCGGATCAAATTCTTGTTTTCCTGGGAAGTTCATCGTGAACTTGTCCGCCGCTGTTATCTCCAAATCAAAGGTCATTTCACTATCTTCGAGATCATTTGTTCGACTCAGGCCACGCTTCTCTTCGGCAACTGCAATAAAATCAAAATTAAATATAATCTTCGATTATTTATATGTATACCTAGATAGGTGTGAGCATAGACATATTTCGATGCAGACCGGCTCCATGAAACTGTCCACGGCATGCATGCTGCGCAGTTTTTTTTACACGCCCCGGAATCCTTGTTTGGCCCTTTGTTGAGCTTCTCAATGACTTTGTTGTTCACACTGTAGACGAAGGACATACTGTAAAATTAAAATTACAACAGATGGAATCAGGGAAAGAATTGAAACAAAAATTCCAAAATTTACCTATTATTATAGCTATTCTCCACATGCCCACCTACAACAAGGCAATTTTTGATCCCTCCTCGCTTGTTCCTCACTACAGCTGTTAACTTGATCTTGTCCTTGTTTTTGCTGAGCAAATCTACAATGCATCCCTTGCCGTCCTCGTTGTACTGAAGCTCGCTGAAAAATAAAAGAATTTTTATTACACAAATTCTCATAAGAGGCAAACAAACTCACATATAGCCTTTCTCGATTTTAACATCACAGGCATCCCGAAAGCGACATTTGTATTCTGTCAAGTTGAAGTTCTTCTCTGTGACTTTGTCAGTGTTCGGGTTGAGCTCCACTTGGTTGCCAGTCCTTTTGTGATTGCCGAGTCCGACGATTTCCTCCTTCATCTGTCCAGGCACTTCACACACAAGGAAGGTTGCGATGACGAGCAACATCAGCACCAAGGAGTACAGCGTTGACGACTTCATTGTCCCAGGGCCGGTGTCAAGCTCCATTGGGAGATGGCAGCGGACGAACATGGAGTGTTGCTGTTTTGAATGCAGACAATATTGATGTTTGTAGAGTTGTGATGAATGTTTGGTAGAGTTTGGGTGGATTTTAACTCCTTTTATAGTCTAACTTCTAACTAGAGACAGGACTGGGAGTGTAGTACGAGAATAAAGATCTCGAAAATTTCTCGATCCCGTTAAACGAGATTTTTGATCGAGATCTTGTCTCGGTCCGGTCTCCTACTTTTACTAGGGTTGCGCGAAGTCGAGACCCCGCCGAGGCCGAGGTCCTCGCCTATTTTCCAATCTCGTTTTCGGTTCGGCCGGTCTTCGGATACCCGAACATCACTAATATATAAGATTTTCACCAGATTCTAAGTATGGCCTAAAATACGACAAATTTTTACCGATTTTTAAAAATTCATAACTTTGCCAAAAATGCTCATTGGCTTCTCAAAATTTACAGATTTGTTAAACAATTTTTGAACTACAAAAATACAAAAATGGAAAAAATAGGCTGGGATCAGGGCTGTGCGCCAAAATTTTCGCGTGGCGCGCCAAACGCCAAACGCCAATTTTTTAAATTTTAAAAACACGCCAAACGCCAAAAATCGGCCAAAATCAACGCCAAAACGCCAAACGCCAAAATTTTTAGAGTCTATAAAGACTTAAAAATCACTGTTCATCTCATTTTAGCGCCGCAGGCGAAATTTTTTTAATTTTCAAGATTCCCAGAAGCCAGAATTCATCCTTTTTTTACCGCCGGAGTGAAATTTTTGAGAATTTTGGAGGCAAAAAAGCCGAAATTCATCCTTTAAAAAATAAGAAATTCATAGAACTCCTTGAGATTAAGGTGGATATGAAGGGATAAAGGGAGTGATGAGTATAACAGAGGTCATGAAGAGAGTAAACGATTAATGGGACTAAAGTTTTTTTCTACCATCTATTAGTTTAAGATAAGGGCTTCCTCCTTTAAGCGCCGCAGGCGAAAATTTTGAAAATTTTGGAAGTCCAAGCAGTAGATGTCTTCATTTTTTATGCGCCGCAGGCGAAAATTTTGAGAATTTTGGATGACTGTACGCAGAAAAATTTCCTTTTTCGATCATCCCTTTCTCCATTTATTTAAAAAAATTCCATCATTAGGGGTGTATATTTTTGGCGTTTGGCGCGCCAAAATCGGAAAATCACGCCAAACGCAAAACGCCAAAAATCGGCCAAAATTAACGCCAAAACGCAAAACGCCAAACGCCATGACGCACAGCCCTGGCTGGGATGGCCGAAAGATAGGGGTAAACTAACAAATACCTAAGTCCCCTTATAAATGAGAGAAATTTCTCTCCATCTAATCATTTTTACTCTTCTTTTTTCTTTTCCAGCTGCTGACCCTTTCCCTTCTCTTGTCCTCACCAGGGCTGATCGAAATTTCGTTTCGTTTCGTTTCGTTTCGCTCTTTCGTGCCCTTTTTTCCATTTCGTTTCGTTTCGGAACGAAACAGAAAAAAATTTATTTCGTTTCGTTTCGAAACGAAATAGACAAAATTCCGGACGAAACGAAACAAAAAAAAAGTGAGAAAATACACCCCTAATGATAGGAATTTAAGGAAATAATCATTAATTTTTTAGCGATTTTTGTCTTATGAGCAGCCTAAAATTAAAAAATTTTCGCCTGCGGCGCTGAAAATGGAAGAAATTTGGATTCTTGAGCTCCAAAATTCAAAAAATTTTCGCCTGCGGCGCTAAAAAGGAAGAAAGCTTTTACGGGGTTAGCTAGAGCAGACCAGCCTTCCGTCGCCCAACCTACCATAGTCAGAAATCTTCATTTCTGTGATCTAAAAACAATAAAAATTTTGAAACCTAGATTTGAATATGCTGGAGTTGTACTCCAAAATAGAGTTATACTAAAATTTTAATTACTTTGTGCGGTGGATTAAAAGAGATCTCGAGGGATTAGTGATATTGAGCTGAGATTTGGCAAGATTAATGTGATATTGTGGTATGGGCAAGATTGAGGGGATATAGGTGGATTTTGTGTATATTTGGATTTTATTGATTAAGTGAATATAGGTGGTTTTGGGAGGGGGATATACAAGATATCGCAAGGGATATAGAAGATATCTCGTTTATCCCTCTTAATATCCGTCTTGATCGATATCTAAAGTGGTATACTCCGAAGTAATTTGGATATATCGATGGATTTTAATAGGATATCGGAGGATCGATTTGAGGGGATTAATGGGGATATCGGCAGATCTATAGGACTCACTCATCTTTCTGGGTTGCTTTTGTCACGCATCTAGCTCTTGGGGTGCATATCTATGATTTAAATATCGATAAAAAGCCTTTATGAACTGAAAAATACAAATTTTTTAATTTTTATTTTATTTCGTTTATTTCGTTTCGTTTCGTCCGAAACAAGCTCATTTCGTTTCGTTTCGCTCCGAAACGAAATAGGAATTTTTTTATTTCGTTTCGATTCGAAATAAAAAATATTTTTATTTCGATCAGCCCTGGTCCTCACCGTTGCCTAATTTAACAAATTGGTAGTGATGTTAGAGACTTTCGGTCTCGGTTCCTGAGTCGTGAAATTTCCCGGGTTTTTGAGCTCTCGTTCTCGGTGTTTTAGTCTTTGGAAACGAGACTAAATTTACACTTCAAATGACGGAAATTTTTTGAAGTGTCACGTACCTCTTGTACTTTATATTTTTAATTTTTTAAAAAGTCAAAGAAATAGCTGTGTTAATTTCTTTAATTTTCACTTTTAATGATGGATAGTTGGGTGGCTAAGTTCACAGGCTTCGCTCACTTTATTAATTTCAGTTTGAAGATTCGAGTCAGGGGCTGGAAATTGAGACTTGGCAAGTTTTTCTTTCCATAAATAAAAGTTTTTAAACTTTGATTCTGATTTTAAATTTAAAAATTAATTCATTAAATATTAAAATTGAAAAACTGTAAAATCTTAATTTTGACAGATATTTTCAAGAAATCTGGCAAGAAGTTTTCAAGAAATCTCCTTGAATAGAAAGGTCTCTCTCCCTTGAACAAAAAGGTCTCTTCCCGGTCTTTTTTTCCTTCTAATCTGTTTACTTTTAATATTTTCAAAATCCAAAGATGAACTTATGTATCGTAATTTAGATATGATTTACAATAAACGAGATTTTCACCACAGTTATTTTTTGTTTTTAATTTTTCTGAAATATTTTTTGATTCAGCAAAATGTTTTTCTTGGTTAAACCTTTAGAGTTAACATTTGGAAGTTAACTCATTTTCTTTTAAAAATTAGCAAATACAGTATTTCCTTTAATACTACTCCTGGGAGTAGTATTTTTCAACCCTTCTCCAAAGGGGAGTATTATTAAAGGGGAGATTTCTAGTTCAGGGGAGAGGGGGTGTAATACTACAGGAAATACGGTGATTATTTATCTTACCAAGTACTGTCCTAAATTAAATTTAAAAAAACGTGAAAAGTTGAGGAGTTTTATTCAAAATTTAATTTTTGATTAAAGCTACTTTTTTGTATTTTAATTTTTACTAATTTAGCTAATTAAAAAATAAAAATTTAAATTTTATTTGAAAATAATTAGCAAATAATTATTTATTTTCTAGTCCAAATTCATCAAAAAATCTATTAATTTCACCAAAAATTATTCGATTAAAAATTGAAGAAAATTCTCCCCCAAACAAACAACTAGCTTCATTTGAAATATTATATCCAGATTCCCATAAACATAATTGTTATTTAAATGGACAATTTGCAAATAAATTTAATCTTATTAATGAAAAGCAAAAGAAAGGGGTAAGTTTAAATTAAAAGTTTTTATCTCCAACCAATATACTTTTAACTTTCAATTGAGATTGTTTAAACGTTTTAAACAGAAAACTCCTTTCGGTTTAAAAAAAGCAACAATTTCCTGTTTTGGCTTTCTTTTTTCTGAATTCCAAAACTCAAATTAATACACTAAAAGTTAACATAAACATTCAGCATCTATTTGGGGCAAATATTTCCCCAATTTTTCCCAACTAAAAAACAATTCAAAACAACAATTTATTTTTTACAAACAAATACAATACAAACAACAAAATATATATATTACACATGATAGAAAGATTATATGGGTATAGGGAATAGGAACAATATAGATAGGAACAATAGGAACAATATTTCCATACAACAAAGGAGCAATATATAGAATATTTCATATTTATCTCTCGAGCTTCACCTTCAGAACTTCCGAGCACAGGATATCCCTAATGTCAAACTCCTCCTTCGGATAGTGGAACCGAAACGCCATCCTCAACGTTCTCATCAGCCTTCACCTCCTCAACGTTCTCGTCGGCCTTCACCTCCTCAACGTTCTTATCAGCCTTTGCCTCCTCAACATTCTCAACGATCACCTCCCCGTCCCGTGTGTGGTCAAATTCAATTGCAGTTGCTGTTCCATCGGTCACGGTGAACGCAGTAATGATGTTATTTCTCTGAAATATATAAATTATAAGTTGGCACTGAGAAAATATTTATCAAAAAATATTTTCACCTTTTTCCATCCCTCGAAGGTCCCGGCCCTTATACGTCCTCTTTTCTTTACTTCCTTGCTGAATTCGCGATCTCTCATCTCCATGTCAAATTGCTTCGCGCACTGGTCTACAATGAACTGCATCTTTTCTTTGGGGGTTTTATTATCTGTCCTATTCCACATTGCAGTAGCCAATTTTTCATACGGAAGCTCGTTCAGTTCGTTATGTTTTCTCTGAAAATTTTGAAAATTGTTTAATAAATACTATATTTTATTTTAACTTACATTCACTTTCCAAACGTCAAATGACCTCATGTTCTTTGGGCCTTTGACTTTTTCCTCGGCTTGGTACAGAGCATACAGTTCTTCCTCATGTTTGACTATAAGCTTCTTCTCTTCAGAATTCCTCTTCCTCCAGAACCATGCCAAAACTCCGACGATGACTACACACACAACAATAACGGCAATCACAATATAAAGCCATCCACGGGATTCTTCCGGACACTTGCTTTCTGCAGGATCCGCTGATGATAGGATGGCCGCAGTTGTTGTCTTTAGCTCGTTGTTGCTGGACAGTGCCAATGTTGCTGGACAGGGAACAGATGTTGCTGGACAAGGAGTACACAATGTTGGTGGACAAGTAGACGAGTTTGTTGGACAAGGAGCACATGTTGAAGTTTCCAGAATTTTTCCTTGACTCGCTAGACAGTTATTTGTAGTCGTTGTAATATTCGGTGGAGGGACATACAGCAGCTCGTAGTCCGGTCTTTTCTAAATTAAATTAGTAATTATTTTAAATTTTGTTCAATCCTTACAAATTGAACGAAGAGCTCACAATATGGTGGATTTTCAGTCGTAATCCCATCGAATACAAAGGTCGCGTTCCGTGAAAGCAGGCTGAAGACGAATAGACGTTTATCACGAAAATCCGTGTTTGTGATGGTCCATACTTCTGGTTTGACAATTTTACAAACGTCTCCCTTTGGATTAAATTCATATTTTTCTACGTACTCCATCGTGAACTTGTTCGCCGCAGTTATCTCCAACTCGAAAGTCATTCCGTTGTCATTGAGAGTATTGTAGGGACTTAGGCCTGGTTCTACTTCGCCAACTGGAATAAACATCAAAATTAAATATGAATTTAGATTATTTATTTACTTACTTAGATGGATGTGAGCATAGACCAAATCTTTCTCCACATGTTTGCTCCACAAAATTTCAAGAGATGTCCATGGCATGCACGATTTGCAATCACACGTTGCATTGGAAGAATCGTTTGGTCCACTGTTAAGCTTCTCGATGTCTTCGTTGCTCACGCTGTAGACGAAAGGCATACTGTAAAAGTTAAAAATTTGAAACAAAAACAATCAAACGAATACAAAAGTTCCAAAATTTACCTATTATTATAGCTGTCCTCCAATTTTTTACCCGCCGCGTTAAGGCATCTTTTGATCCCTCCTCGCCTGTTCTTCACTCCAGCTTTTAACGTGATCTTGTCCTTGTTCGCCTCGTTCGTACTGAGCAAATCCACAATGCATCCACTGCCGAACTCGTTGTACTGAATCTCGCTAAAAAATAAAAGAATTTTTATTACAAAATTAATTACAATAAACAATGCAAACTCACATGTAGTCTTTCTCAATCTTGATATTACAGGCATCCCGAAAGCGATATTTGTATTCTGTCAAGCTGAAGTTCTTCTCTGTGACTTTGACAGTGTACGGGTTGAGCTCCACTTTGCCTTTAGTCAATTTGTGATTGCCGAGTCCGACGATTTCCTCCTTCATCTGTCCAGGCACTTCACACACAACGAAGGTTGCGATGACGAGCAGCATCAGCACCAAGGAGCACAGCGTTGACGACTTCCTTGTCCCAGGGCCGGTGTCAAGTCCCGATGGAAGATGGCAGCAGACGAACATGGAGTGTTGCTGTTTTGGAAGTAGACAATATTGATGTTTGTAGAGTTGCGATGAATGTTTGGTAGAGTTTGGCTGGATTTTAACTCCTTTTATAGTCCTAACTTCTAACCCTGACGATTCATATTATAATCTTGTCAGTGATATTCAAATTTCAGGAATATGTATTCATAAATACAATTAGCTAATTTGTTAAGAGATTTTAAAGCAAATTCATAATGTTTTGGCTCAAAATTTTGTTATGCTTGTTAATTAATTGTTACAAGGCTAACAATATTATAAATATACCGTATAACCTGTATAAATTGCCCTCCTTCAAATAATTACCCCACTTCTATTAATTACCCCATCCAACAATAGATTTAAACAATAATACCCCCCCCCCCTCAAATGCTCTAAAACACGTTCATATTTCAAACCTTGAATAATTACCCTCCCTCGATTAATTACTCCCTCCAGCGGTAGGTCGAAACAAATCCAGAATTGTTTATCACCAAATAACAAAATCTTTTTCACTTCTAATCCGCTTACTTTTAATTTTTTCAATATTCAAGTTTATATATGTAATCTATGTAGATGTCAAATAAAATAGTACAAAATTTTCACCGATTTTTCTGTTATCATTCTCTAGCCTCCATTACCTCGAAAAGTCCCCCCTTTTAACTTTTAATCATTTACATAAATAAATAAAAATAAAATCAATCAGGCCATTTTTCATTTGCAAATAATAAAAAATTATTATGCTTATATAATTACTAAATTGCTAAAATTTTGTGAGAAAAACGAGAGAAAATGAGGAGAGAGTAAATGATTTTTTAACATTTTTTTGTCTGGCACCATTTAATTTTAATTAAAAATTAATTAAATTTTGAAAATGGATATTTCGAATTCTTCAGAAAATGAAGGGCTTTTAATGAAAATAAATGGAAGATGGATTTGTTTAAGCAATGAATTTGTTAAATCACATCCTGGAGGTCCTGTAATTGAACAATATAGGTAAAATATAGTTTAATTATCTTCTTTATTTTAGAGATTTTTCCTCTTCGTTTTTAATTATCCCTTATTTACTTTCACTGCTTAAAAAATACAACTTTATATTGTAAACTTTCACTAGGATATACCCTTTATATAATTAACCATTTTTGGAGATTTATATGAACATTATAGAAGAAATAAATCAAAAAAAGATACTTAACAAACACATAAAAGTAACCTCTAACTTTTTTATTTCGACTGTGTCCACAATATAGAGGTTTTTGAATAAAAGATAGTTATAAATACCGTCTTAAATGCCGTATTTTCTCTAGAATAACCTTACACGCAAAAATAGCCCCCCTCTCTAGAGGTCGATTGAAAAAAGTAATCTTATGGGGCTATTTAGAGAAAATACGGTAGATTCTCCTTTGTTATTTTTATTTTATGAACTGAAAATTATTAATAAATATTCTTAAATAAAATTTATTAATGAAAGATTTTTTTAATATTATTTTTTAAATTCAAATTTAATAAAAGAAAATTTAATTTAGAGGTGCTGACGCTACACATATTTTCCATGCTTTTCATGAAGGCAAATAATTAATTTAAATTTAAATTAATTTTTAAAAATTTTTAAAGGTTCCAAAAAGGCTTATAAACAATTAGAAATACAAAAGGAGGTTAATCAACCTTCAACAACTTTAATTGCAACAAAAATAAATTCCTCAAGGGATAAGGAAATTATTGATGATGATGATTTTGTTGTTATTAATTATGATATTTCTCCAGAAAAAGTGAGAGGACAATTAAACTGAAAATAAATAAAATAATTTATTGGGTCATTTTTATATCCAAAAATTATTTTTTCGTTCAAGCACGTTCAAATTAATTCAACCCGAATTTATGTATCCCTTCTATATCCACAATATCTCTATTAGAGATCGAAGAGTATTGCAAAACCAAACTTTAAAAAGCGAAAAACATAAAAGGAAAAAAGGAAAACTGTGAGATTAGAACCTAATTTTTTCATATTTTCGAATACCCAAACGAAGAAATAACACGTCAAGGAATTAAGAAAATCAACAATTATAAAAAAAGGAAATTTACAACAAATTTATGTAAAACCATCCCTAAATTGCATATATCCAATAAATCTATTATTCTCTCAAATTTATTTAAAAAAAATCTTTTCTTTACTCAAAATATTTTTAAATAAATCCTTTTAAAAAATTTTTTGTAGGAAATGAAAATAGTACTAGAATTTGAAGAACTTAGACAAGTAAAATAATTGTAAAATTTAAGTTAATTTTCTTAATTAATTAAAAGAATGTCCATTCTGAAGGCCTTTTACTTCCAAAACCTTTATTTTATGTCAGAAAAATATTTGAAGTTTTTACTTTATTATTATTTGCTTTTTGGTTACAATACAAAACTTTTTATATTTTGTCTGCTTTAATACTTGGACTTACTTGGCAACAAATGGGATGGTAATTTTTTTAATTAAAAATAAAATATACTACATATATTTTTGTTTAAAAATCATTGAAAATTTAGCAAAATTAACAAACAAAAAATATACATTAATTCAGCAATTTAGGCAAACATATCTCTTTTAACTAAGACAATTCCTTGTTTTATCCTCCATCATTCAAGCCTTATTTGATCCCTTTATCTTTAATCTGAAGAAAGATATGCCAAAAAACGCATGCCCGGTTACTTTGGGTAACCCTGTATGTAGTTGAATTACACTTTTTGGGATTAAGAAATTATACCTTATATTAAGGTACATTAAATCGCGGATCTCTATTAAGTAGCTCTCCCAACCAAGTGCAAATAAAAAAAGGCATCTTAAAGGAAGAAGTCTTTTGTGGGAAAATTACTAGAATATTTTAAAATTTGAAATATTTTTATTAAATTTAAAGAACTTCTTTTTAAAACAGGCTTTGTCACGAATGTTGTCATCACCAACCAACCAAAAATCGTCGTATTAATGACTTTTTATCTTTATTTTTGGGTAATTTCTCACAAGGATTCTCAAGGGATTGGTGGAAGGATAAGGTAAAAATTAATTAAATTAAATTTAAAAATTTATTTAAAAGCATAATTTACACCACGCAACAACAAATATTATTTCAAGGGATGGTGATATAGATTTAGCTCCATTATTAGCTTTGGTAAATTAATTTTTTAACAATCTTTTTTTGAACATATTACCATTTTATTGATGTTCCTCTACTTCCAATCTTGAGATGGGAAAGAAAATTCCTAAAAAAATTTTTGTTAACTTTGGGAGGCTAGTAGACATAGCATCTTCAATTAAAAACTATTTGACTTTTGTTATAAGGGCATCGGGAGATAAGCTTGGATACTTTTGTAAAATAAGTTTTGACTAGTTCTCCATCTAAAAATAACATAGATCCAATTGTAACGAGAATTAGATTTTTTAATTAACTATTTTTTTATTTTTTAAGGTTCCAGATGATTTATTTAAACAAAAAACTTTAATTTCAAATTTAATTCTTCGTCTAATTATTCCTTATCAATATTTGTATGTTTTAAATTTAAATTTTATTTTTTACTAAAAAGATCCTTTGATTTTCTTTGATTAACTTCACAATCCTACACAGATATAATATATACTACATCTAAAAGAAATAAATTTTTGATTTATTAATTTATAATGAGAATTAAAGACAGGACTTGGAGGGTCGTGCGAGAATCAAGATCTTCGCAAATCTCGAAAACCCCAAAAAAATTTGTCGTCTCGACAACCTAGTTTTTTTGAAATCTCGTCTCGGTCCTACCTCTAATGAGAATAACTAAACAAAAATTACAAAATTTAAAAAAAGCTACCTAAATTAAATTTAAAATTTATTTTAGTTATTTTACTTTAATGTATCCTCTTCTACGTATTTCTTGGGTTACCCAAAGTATTCTACATTTATTTACTTCATCTAAAAGTAAATATAAAAAACATAGAAATGTTGCTTTATTTGAACAAGTAAATTAATTTTTAATTTAAATTTAAATTAAAATATTCACTATAAAGTTTGCTTTATTTGGACATTGGTTTTGGGTATTTTTACAACTTTGGTTATTGCCTTCTTTTTATATTAGAATTATTTATTTTGCTATATCTCAGTTTGGTAATTAATTATGTAATTTTAATCATTTTTTAAATTTATCTGTGTTCATAATGGCACCATATTGGTTATACAGGCACTTACTAGTTATGTATTCCTTTGGGGTGATGTCTAGATAGAGGGGAATTTTTATTGTTTAAAAGGGATTCGAGGGATTCAAAAAATTGTGAGAAAAAAAATTGAGAAAAATTGTTGTGTTGTTGTGAGACAGATCTTGTATTAATCCACTCTGCTTGAACGGATAAGGGACTTAAAAGAAAATAAGATATACATATGTACATAGAGGACAACAACAAAAAAAGTAAAAAGAAATTAAGAGTCAGCCCATGGAAAATTTTTTACATATAAGGGACAAATCCAATTAAAATACATCCAAATCAAAATTCTTTTATTCTATTTAAAAATTTATCAAAAAAATTCTTTTTAATTTTAAAAAAGTTGCCGGAACATTAATTGCTTTAGTAGTCTCTTACAACCACAATTCTGTACCTAAATTTCCAGAAAATTCTGG